GTGTTTGCACACAGTGTGAAACATAATGAGTACGACCAGATTCAGTAACGTGTATTTTTTTCATGCTTCCTAAGTTGTCGTCGTTATTTTTCTAAGGTTTAATAGTAAAAATGCAACAATATATTATCTTTTTAAGACCTTGTGCTTCTCCTGATGACAAAACTAATGCTGACTGGGATGATTTGATACTGACATAAAATCTGTGGTTTTTATTAATAATTCACTTTTAATTAGACACGTGAAAACTGACTGTCCAGAAAATTTCTGACAAAGCAGAGAGGAAGAAGGATTGGACGGCGCTGATATTTACTCATGTGATTTCCTGGATTCCTCTGAACAGCTGATCCAAAGTATGGACCGTACTGTGAGTTTGAAAGCAGAAGTTCAAATTGTGCAAAACTTCATAAAAAGTAACATGCTGCTGTTTTACACTCTTGAAGCAGATTTAAAGTTTTTATTGTCCCTTCAATGTGGCTGGATCTTTTGAACATTATCAGATATTATCTGTTGTAGATATTTAATAGGCTAAATTAGGAATATTGTGAAATTAATTCCTGAATTGTATACCGAAACCTAACTCATACAACTAAACCAACAATCAATAGACAGAGTCACAGAGAAATGTTTTCTAAATCCAAGGAAATCACTTTTTGGAGATGACTGAATGTAATTCTGATCAGGGACTTTACAAGTGTGTGTTTCTGTTTATTACCTGAATGAATCATTAGATTACTTTTAGTAAAACTTCCATCCATCCATCCATCCATTATCTTTATCCACTTCTTCCTTTCCTTGTTGTGTGGGTCACTGGTGCCCATATCCAGCAATCACTGTGAGAGGTGGGGACACCCTGGACAGGTCTCCAGTCCATCACAGGTACATATAGAGAAAAATGAGACAAACAACCATTCACTCTCTCATTCACACCTAGGGACAATTTAGAGTTACCAATCAGCCTAACATGCATGTGTTTGGTCTGTGGGAGAAAACCGGAGGACCTGGAGAAAACCCACGCATGCATGGAGAGAACATGCAAGCTCCACCCAGCAAGGCTCCCGGATTGGGATTTGAGCCAAGGTAACCTGCTCGTCGACAGGCAACAGCTCTACCAGTACAAATTTGTCAGAAAAGGCTGGCTGGTTTTCAAGAAAACCACATGCAAGGGATTTTACAACCTCATCTGGAGTAGAACCAAAAGCATATCAAATAGCGTCATCGCCATACAAATGAATAGATGGAGGCCTTACTAACAGAATGTGAGATATAATTTATAAATATGGAGAAAACAGGTGGACCAAGAATGGAGCCTTGGAGTACACCTGACATAACGGGAAGAAACTGTAAAGTATGAGAGTCAACCTTCGCTTGCTGCGATCCATTCAAAAGATAATTACGGAGGTGTTAGTGGCTGTCCCATAATTCAAATACAATCAAGTTGTTTCAATAAGACGGAATGATCGACTGAGTCAAAAGCTTTTGCTAAATCAATGAATATTGCTGCACAGTACTGTATGGAGCCCAATGCAGATGCTATACCACTGACAACCTTCAGAGCCGCTGTAATGCAACCATGCCCTGAAAGAAAAGCCAGATTGGGTGCTGGACAAAATATTAAAAACCTTCAAATAATGTTTATAATATAGTCAGATTGATCAATCTTAATCTAAAATTTGACTTTCAGATGGTCATGCTCAACCGATCACTAAAACTTTTCACAATATTGCACAACACTGATCATAATGTCAATTTATAAGATTTAGCCAAAGCGGCTTTAACTCCGTAAGATCATCTTAGTTTAAAATCTGGTATTGAATTTGGTGGGCGATATGCATTCCTTCACAGAATAATTCTTTAACTCAATAGAGGATTATTAAAAGAGCTGAGAGGTGGCTTTATGACAAATGTTGACAATTTGGACCGGGAGAAGTTTCTCTGAGTGACATATTAGACATTTTCACTTGAAACCAAAGGAGAGAGAGACATGATGCGTCTTGAGTTTTTTGTACCTGTGTCAGCTTGTTGCATTCCTCACTGAACTGACAGATGTTTTTTTAGCACTTCACAGCTGACAGAACTGTCCCAATTTGTTGATACGATTCCTTCCTTTTAATTTGAGCATTTACTTCCTACAGTTCTGGTTTTTATACACTAATTTGAGCTGTTGATGATTTTTTTCTTAGTACTGAAAGAGCAGTTATGAGGCATTTTTGTGGCATGAAAGTAAACAGAAACATTCCCATTAGTGTCTAAATATTCCATTTTATTTAAAGAACATCCCCAGAGTCTAAAAGTGGTTATTTTAAGAGAAAAATCTCAAGTTTAAAACCTGTGGCATGGAACAAATGCAGCCTATGCAACGGAGAGATAGAGGTGAAAAAAAGAGTTTTTAAAGTGTAAATTAAATGAACTGATGGCATAAACTACAGTCGTTGAACGTCTCTCAGGTTAAAATGAAAGCATTTGTTTGGTATCTTCTCCTGTTTCTAACACCGTGTCTCTGTCCTCTTTAGATGCTTCACATATTTAATTAAAACATCTAACATGAAGGTTCATCAAATGAATCCAGTAAACACTGTGATTTTCTAAAAAAAAAAAAAAAAAAAATCCTGAGTACAGCATGAAGCAGGTCTGTGAACAACAAGTGTTGGAGTTGATATGAAAGGTTTAAAGACCAAACAGGAAAAAGAACGGCTTCTGTTAACGTTCGCAGCAGGGTTTGGGTCAAAGAACAGGTTTGTCATCGGGCAGGGGGGTTTCAGACTGCTGGAACACTCGTGTTGAATCATACGTGTTGTTTGGATGGACGTCCTCTCTGCTCGCTCAGAGCAGCACGATGTCTGGGACTGTTTGTCTCCGAAGGAAAAACGCTCTCGCAGCCAGGAGCTCGATGGTTGCTTCATGTTTGGACGATTATCATAGACATTAATTTTACTCTCATGTTAAATCCTGCTCATCATTTTTACAATATCACTCACTGGAATGGAGGTTGTGTAAGGATTTGATGTCTCAGATCAGTTAATCATCCGTCACAGATGCCCAACACTGAAGGTTTAGTTCCCGCGAACACAGATTGAATCAAACCTCAGATTGTGGTTTGAGTTCTTCCTAACATTCGTTACAAAGGAGCTAAAAAATGTTTACAGAAAATTTCGATGGGTAGTTAAACTGAGGAATTTGGGGAAAAAAATCCAAAAGGTAAACTTTGTTCTTATAGTTTGTAAGACTAGACTATTTAGACTATTTAGACAAGACTATTTACTTTATATAATATTTTTATTGTAGTTGTATTCATATAAAAACAAAACAAATGTCAGCAAACCATCGAAATGTTTGAATGTATCTGCAGAAAATGCCAAATATTATTCTCAAAAGTCTAAATACAACTATCAACGACGTATTTGATCATTATTTTTTTTATTTTTTCTGTCATTTTAGCTGTATAAAAACTGAACAAAATTGTATTAAACTGCATTTCACATCAAAACTTTTTACATCTGTGCAGGGGCAATTCTAGAATCTGAACTTTAGGGGTGCTTAGCCCCCAGTGCTGACAATGGCTCTTGGCTTGAACAACTTGGTGGCCATTGGCGTCAGAAGCATTCATAATGTGTGGGGGACATATTGGTGGGGGGGTATGGGGGTCCTCCCCCATAAAATTTTGAATAAAGTAGATTCCATTTCCTGGTGTATTTTAATGGGTTGTTAAACATTTACATTTACCTCCATAAGTAAACACTTGATTCAATAACTATTTTAGAGAGTTCGGCACAACAAGAAGAAAGCTAAACTAGCGGCGTGTAATACAGACGAGCTAGCTAAGATGCTACAAAAGTAGCGCTCTGCTTTACATCACACAACCTAATAAACACTTTGTACAAAATCATTTTAGTGTTAACTGATCATAACAAACAAAGACTAAACTTATGCAACCAGAAGTATATCTACATTTAAAACACACAAAACTAAGCGCAACTTTAAGCCTTAACCTTTAATTTAACCATTAAGCGTACAATATAGTCATGACAGAAAATGGAGGATTTACCTGCAGTTACATTTGTACAGATGAACATGTGGTACTTCCTGTTTGTCACTGTTGTATTCAGCTGCTCATGAGGTCGGCCGCAGGGCTTTAACCATCTTTTAAATTTTCCAGACTCAGTTTAGTTTTTTAAATGGATTAAACTGTATTCCACATTCTAAAGCAGGACTATTCAACTAAACTGCTCAGGGGGGGGCCACAGTTACTGAAAGCCAGGCGCTCAGGGGTCGGACATCCAGCGATCAATGTCATTATGTAAATAAACCAAATATTACAATGATCGTTTACCTTCTAATTTTGTTTATTTTGTTACATTGAATCATAAATGCAATAAACAGAACCCAAACCCAGAACTGCCCCAATATATATATACACACACACACACCCCAAAAAAGTAAAAAAATTAAAATAAAATAAAATTTAACTTTATTGTTAAAATTCAGGAGTGCTTGAACACCCCCACCCAAAAAGAGGCTAAAATCGCCACTGCGTCTGCGAGCATAAGTTTTTTCACACGTTACTGTCCCCCCCGTCCCTACATGTCGATGTGTCACAGTTTATTATTTGTTAGGGTGTGATGCCTCTCACTGCATTGCACAGCAGTGAAATGTGGTTGTTTGTTATGCTCAAATATATTTTCCCAACTATATTTAAAATCCCTGTTAAGGGCCAATGTACAATATTTTAAATTCCAGATTTATTCTTGTTTATTCCCATGAATGCCTGTTGATTCCCATGGAAAGTTTCCAGAATTGTTCAACCCTAATCACAACTGCTGCAAGAACACTCAAACATCCTGAATGCACGACGGATGACTAAATAATGTCAGATTAATTTCATCTGCTGTGTAAAGCTGGATTGATCCATTATCCTTATGAAAGAGGTCTAAAGTGTCAGATGTGCTGCGGTGCAGTTCTGACTGTTACCTTATAATAAACCCTCTCCCTTCTTTGTTTCCCAGGTGCTGGGGAATCTGGGAAAAGCACGCTTGTAAAGCAGATGAAGTAAGTCACAACTCGTGTGGACGAAGGAGCTCATTCCATTTTAGACTTCCCGTGAAGCTATTTTTGTGTTGCGCTGATGAAAAGCGGGCCCCGCTCCCGTTTTTAGCTGCCACATTGTTGAGCTCATCTGTGTGGAAATGCTGTGGAAGCACAACATGAGCCTCATTTTGTTCCACTCGGGCAGAGGAGGAAGCCCCTCTTTTTCTTTTTGCATAACTTGTTAAACAATGGCAACAGAGGCGAGTTGATGCCTGGCAGGACCTGAATAGAGTCCCTCCACCACCACCACCCCAGTTCCCACATTAAGCATGCTCACCGAGGCTCAAATTCCTGCGCTAATGATTTCACTGCATGAAATATGCCAAATGTGTAACTAAATCCAGATTTGCTAAGCTACTTTTATATAACACTGAAAGTCTGTTTGGATTTTGTTTCTGTGGCAGAATCATTCACGAGGACGGCTACACAGAAGATGAGCGCAAGCAGTACAAAGTGGTGGTGTACAGCAACACCATCCAGTCAATCATGGCCATAATCAAGGCCATGGGACAGCTCAAGATGGATTTTCAGAATCCTGTACGGGAGGTAAGCCTCTAGCTGTGCCGTTGTGGTATAAATCACCACAGCAGCAAAGTTATAGTCATCAGTCGTTGGGTTTGTTGGCAGGATGATGCCCGGCAGCTGTTTGCCCTGGCAAGCACAGCGGAGGAAGGAGTGATGTCTGGTGAGCTGTCCGGTGTAATTCGCAGACTGTGGATGGACAGAGGAGTTCAGGCCTGCTTCGATCGGTCGCGAGAGTATCAGCTCAACGACTCTGCTGCATAGTGAGGACATCGCATGTTATTTATCATCACCTGCTGCCAAAGGCACAGATGCTTTCGCTCATGTCGTTTGTTTGTATTAGCGAAATGTCTCGTGAACCACTGCTTCGGTTTCAATAAAATTCTCACAAGGACTCATTTTACATTCAGCTGCAACGTCACATTTAGAGCCAACATAATCCAAGATGGCTGCCTCAGTAAATCAGCGTCAGCCAAAATGGCTTTGACACAGCCCAATTTGCAGACGTTGAGCTAAAATCTGGTGTGGTTGTAGCTGAGAGTCGTCCTCAACACAAATTTCAAGACTTTGAAACATCGCATGAGATCGCACAAAACGTAAGATTTGACCGAAACGCCTGACACTTTGTCACTTCCTGTCATAAGATGATCTTAGTTTAAAACTCGTATTAGAAACATCAGGCACTGGTTAGTCTAAAAGATTATTAAAACAGCTGATGTGTGGCTTTTTTGACAAATGCTGTGACAACTGTGACAGAGGAGTTTCACTTGCTGACTTATTAGATATTTTCACACAACAGGCATGATGTGTCTTGTCCTTTTTGTACTTGTGTCAGCTTGTTGCATTCGAGCGCATTCCTCAATTTACTGACAAGTGTGTTTATATTTACAGTATCTCTTCACAACTGTTAGTGCACTAGTTAGCCTCAGTTCTGTTTTATAGTAAAACGCAGACGGAGTTGAAGCTCAAGCCTCCTTTTCTGTGTCTGTTTTCCTTCGTTTCACACGCATCCTGAGAGAAAAAGCTGCTCGCTGTGAAGGGCACGCTCTTTGTTGTGAAAACAGCCAAGTTGTCATGACTCTCAGAGCGCTTTGTCCAAACTGTGCGACGAGTGGAACCAGCAGAGTTAGTCTGTTTTTACTCAACCCATGGGAAGCCAGTGTTTATCGTCCATAAAAACATCAGCCCATATTTAGTATTCTTCCGTGGCGTCCTCAGATGATGTTTCATTGTGCAGAGCGGTCGCCACACATGAATGAACACAAGTGTCTGACCGTCCTGCAGATTAACACCTCGCATCATAACGTGATTTAAGCTGCACTTAAGTGAGTTTTAGATTCTAACGTGGATTATCTGCACACATAAATATTATGATAGTGAGTTCCTCTGCTCTTAGATCATGTCATCTTTCTGGCCCCTCAGCTACCTGAACGACTTGGAAAGGATCTGCGAGCCCAGTTACATCCCAACCCAGCAGGATGTTTTGCGTACACGTGTGAAGACCACTGGGATCGTGGAAACTCACTTCACCTTCAAAGAGCTTTACTTCAAGTTAGTACGGCTCAGTCTTAACACAAAACGTCAGATTATTTGACGTGGTTTTTCTGTCCAAATGATATCTCTCTTAAATATAGAGTTTAATTTTGACCAGATTTAAAAGGTAACAACTAGTTTGAGCACAGCCAAGACAAAAGTGGATTTCTGCTGTCTTAACACAACTCCAGCCTCAAAAGATTTTAAAAAGCAAACACTATTTTACTGTCAAATTTGCATTACAAGGTTATTTACACAGACATCTGTGGTGGCACATCTGGTAAGAATATTATAATGTTTCTGCTAAAATAACCATGTGATACAGCAATGTTAGTGTTTATAAAACAGCATCAATGTGAATTTTGATAAAGCAAAAGTTACAAAATCCAGTAATAGTCAAATATAAGTAAAGACAAGCTCATGATGGAGGTTGTTAATATAGAAAGAGTTTATGAATAGGATTTTTGGGAATGATAATTGACGCTAAATTATGTTTTAAGGCACATTTTAATAAGGAAAGAACTATATTTTCCAAAACAACTATAGGCTTATTACACATAAATTATTATATATGTTATATTGTCCCCTAATACTTTTGCGTGTGACTTACTGTGTGAAGAAAAGAGGAAATATCTACAAAACTAACACTAAACCCGTTTATATGCTGCAAAAGTTAACCATTACAACTATGAATGGATCACATTAAAATGACCCAAGCAACAGCATTTTCTATAAATCTCTTGATTTAACTCATCAATTGTGTCAAAATTAACTCTATTTCACCAAAAAGAGGTTGTTCTAAACTCAATCTAAAAGAAGAAATCTGTTGTTCATAAACTTTTCATAGACCCCAACTTCAAAAGATCTGAACTGCTGCTTTAAGTCTTACAGACGTTAATGTAGATGTTTTCATTATAGAATTAGCACGGTTGTTCTTAATTTAGTTTTTATTGGATATTTTGTGCTTATTGAGACTAATTTTCTTGTCCTAATCTGATTCATTCTGATTCTATCTTCAGTTTTAGCCTTTGAATGATGTTGCTTTGACGCTCTCCAAATGCAAATTGTTGCTTACAATCATCTTACAACATCTGGTCTAATCCAGCAGGAGCCATTTTTGTAATTAGATTGCTTTGCTCCTCTTGACATTATTTTCTCTGGCTTCTGTATTTAGGAATGTTGGTGAAATATTAACTGTAATAGCCTCTCTGCCTCTGCAGCGCCATAAAAAAAAAAGCTCCAGACCTAATCACTGAATTGGTGTTGCGGCACAAAGTGTTCTTTCATGTCATTTCTGTGTCAGCTTAGTATGGATTCGGTTTGAGGGCCTCAGGTGGAGGCGGACACAACACGCAGCTAACGGGAGATTACTAAGTTAGGTCACTGGCATGCCGTGTGTGTCTGTGTGTGCCCCGGATTATCAGAACCTTATAAAGCACTGATATTAAAATGACATTAAACCTGACATGAGCAAACTCATCTGGTAATGCAGCCACCAAGTCAGCGTGTGTTTGTGTGCGTCCTCAGGATGTTTGACGTCGGGGGTCAGCGCTCGGAGAGGAAGAAGTGGATCCACTGCTTCGAGGGAGTCACAGCGATCATTTTCTGCGTGGCTCTTAGTGACTACGACCTCGTCTTGGCTGAGGATGAGGAGATGGTAGGTGATGGCTGCGCCGTGGTCACAGTGGCCGTGAGTTATTAACGCACCGACACACGATCAGTATCCTGAGTTAAAAGGTGTGAGGATGTAAAAACCAAAAGCTTTGAAAATTACTCAGTCACAGAAAACAAAATCCTTTTTTAAATTTATTTTACAAAATAAGAGGCATAAATGAACCTGACTGAGGCAGGAAGACGGTTCTGAAAAGCTTGAAGCTCACAGACGTCCTGTTTATGTGTAATTTATATTTAACAGTTCTATGCAAAAGATTATGACCACTCCTAATCACTTCATACTTTTTACTCAGGGAGCTAGATTTATTTTGTAATATTTTAAAGGGATGATCAGTCATTCTCCAGACTTACTAAAAGCCTTTCAAAGTGTTTTTTAATACATTTTGTTCAGTCCTTGTTCTTCACTCTAACACCGTATTGTGCAGAGGTTGCTTTAAAATAAAAAGGAGAAGTAGATAAGTGAAGGACAAAGAAAAAGTGTTTAATCTACAGCAGATTAGCACTATCTGCAAATCATTCCTTTAAAATAGTGGGGACCAAGTAAAAATCCAACGACCTGCCACAGGATGGGAGAGATGCTGATCATAAACTGCATGGACAGTCTCCAGCTGCATTTCACTGGTGAGCAAACATCAATCATGAGGGAGACACCTGAATGTCTTACACCAGGGGTTCCCAATATGTCGATGGCGATCTACCTGTCGATTGCAAAGGCATTATGGGTAGACCACATAACATTAAAAAAAAATCATCCGTCCTCACTATGAAATTTGTTACTTGATTGACATACAGGGCAGCCATTCACAGCCCTCATTCTCTCAAACCAGGTCTGAGAGATTTTCGGGGAAACCCCATCCCCGCTCCCCCACCCCCGAAGGTGTGAAATTCTCCGTGTGTAGTCGCACATTGTCTGAGCTTATAATAAAATTCAAGGATTGCGTATTGATAGACATCTGACATGTATCTGGAAGTTGAAGCTGATCGTCCACGTCAGCTGGTTACAGCACAAATTTTAAGTCCCGCCCCCTCCACGTTAACATACGGGACATTGCTGTGTACTACTGCTGTATGTGCAGATGTTATTTTTTCTGACTCGTTTAGCTGTTTTAATGGGTTTGTGCGTAAAATGGTAAATGGTATATAGACTGTACTTGTATAGCACCTTTCTATATGATCAAGATACTCAACGCACTTTACACTACAATCTGTGTCCTCATTTACCCATTCATACAGCACTAGATCTCTACAAAGATAATTGAACAAATCATTCTAAAGAGACTAATCAGTGCTTTATCACATTCATACACCGATGGGACACACATCAGAGGCAATGAGGAGTTCAGTATCTCGCCCAGGGACACTTCAGCATGTGACTGCTGGTGGATTCAAACCCCCAACTCTTGCATCGAAGGACGACTGCTGTAACCACTCAGCCACAGCCGCCCTAAAAGAAAAGTCATGTGACACCATGGCTGTGTGTGGGGAAGTAGGTGGGGCTAATAGCCTCATGCCCCTTGTGTGCAGACGTTGGTTTAAAAAATATAGCACGGCCACTTCTGTTTAAAAAACTTCCTGCTTCCCTCAGCTCCCAACAACCAAAGAATGTGGTGACGGTTGTTCATATAATATGTCTGTGATTAAATTCAAGGCCAGCCAACAATAACAAACCATCTTGCTCCCTGGTTAACTTACAAGGATGATTTGCTGATTTTGCGACCAGATGTTAACATTTTTCCCCGCTGCACTAACTCAGTTGGTACTTGATGTTTTAACATATCCCACAGAATCATTCATTTTACTAATGTAATAATAAATTAGGTTAATTAGACTCCCTGCTGGTTTTAGAACTCGACATCTGCTTTCAGTGCTTTAGAAAAAATTGGAATTTCATTAATGTGCCAATAATGTAATGGGAGTTACTGGTTAGGATCAACAAAGGCTTTGTGTACTTCTCTCTGTCTCATACGTTTAAACTGAGAAGCCTGACCAGCTCAGTGCTGCAGAGGCAAAGTGGCTGAAGAAGACTCAGTCCACATTTCTGTGAGGAAGGACAACTCATGTCAGCTTTACAATGGCTGTTTTTCTCAGAACCGGATGCACGAGAGCATGAAGCTGTTCGACTCAATCTGCAACAACAGATGGTTCACGCACACCTCCATCATCCTCTTCCTCAACAAGAAGGACCTGTTTGAAGAGAAGATCAGCAGGAGTCCGCTCACCATCTGCTACCCTGAGTACAACGGTGAGTAATTTTTAGTCGTTTGGTGCATCTAAGCATTTTAAAGATCTGACTAAAGCTCTTTGTTTTTGCTTTAGAGGCTTTTTTAACTACCTGCCTTTCAGGCAAAAATCTAGTTGTGTGTTTGAGTGTTGGTTTTCTGTCTGTTAGTAAAATATATCTTATGAACCATTAGACGTAAGTCCCTGAAAGAATTTGTTGGATGTACATCTACAAATGGAGATAACTCCAGTCAAGATGACCACCTCAACTAAACAACTTTAGAAAACACACAAATAACTATAGCTCAGTTTGTTTTATAAAGACTGAGCTGAAATTCGGTGTGGTAGTAGCTGAGAGGCATCTCCAACACATACTGTAAGTGTTAACTGGTCATACTAGATCTTTGTTTGTAATTTTGGGATGCAATGCAGCATCGATGAGCATTTTGTATTTTGCAGCTGTTTGTAGTCCTTCAAGGAAAGCAAGTTTTTAATCTTGTGAATTTACTCCTGATCATTTAAAATCTACTTATTTCTTCATACCTAAAATGTAAACCAGGTGCAGTCTCTAACAGAAAATACACACATTAAAAAAATCACTTTTTTTTGTCTTCACAGTTTGAACCAGGATTTATATGATGATTTTTAAGTTACAGTCCATAAATAATTTTGTAGATCGCTCAGCAACAGAAACACAGAAGTATCAACTGAAGCCTGCAGTTCTTCACAGGGGAGGCAGACAAACAAATAAAAAGCTTTAAATGGTCCCAGAGAAGATTTTGCTTAAATCTTTCCCCTGCAGGTGGAAACGCATACGACGAGACAGCCACTTACATCCAGTGCCAGTTTGAAGGCTTAAATAAACGAAGGAGCACAAAGGATATCTACACCCACTTCACCTGTGCCACAGACACCAAGAATGTGCAGTTTGTGTTTGATGCTGTCACCGACGTCATCATCAAGAACAACCTGAGGGACATCGGGTTCTGAGCTACCTTCCAGGTCAGCAGTCAGACTTTTGGTCTAAAACTCAGATGGACTGAGGCTTCCCCACACATTAACTCTTTCTTTGCGACAGTATCACCCACTTTCAGCGTCCCCGTTTTACTTCAGCACGATTAAGTAAGAGTAGTGAGTATCTTACCCGTCAGTAGACCGTAATCAGAGCAGTCTCAGTTTGGAAAGTCGAATTAAACTACGTAGATGAAAACCCATTTAAGAGTGGATTTCTGAAACAACTTTAACTTAAAGCCTTTGTAGCCGATCAAGTGATGGATTCTTACTTTTACTTCCCACTGTTAATCAGAACGAGTACATTTAAACAATCAGTATTTCCACGTTGTGGTTCACGCTGATTTTATTGTAACAAATGGCCAGTCTTTATAATAACCCTATGAAGTTATAAGGCCAAATATGCTTTAACAAGATCTAACATTTTCAGAGACTGACTAAAATCACTTAAAACTTGGTCTAAAATTATTTAATAAATGTTCAAACCTAGTTGTGAAAGTCAAAATGTCGTCTGCATTTTTTTCATTCATTCATTCATTCAACCTTTGTTTAGACAGATAAATCACATCGAGTCTCAAAGACTCATTTACAAGTGAGATTTGTTTAGACAGACAAAAAGTACTGAAACTGGACACATGTAGGAATTGGAGGCAAAAAAAAATAATCCTATCAAACGTTCTTCTTGGCTGAGAAGAAAGATTCTAATATTAAAAAAATACCTCGCACATACAAGCACATAGTGATGTAGATATTCCGCAGGGGGGGGAGACTACGAGAGCAGTGAGATGTTTAAGGACGCTCTCGAAGGCACTGTAAGAGTTCTGATAAGGATGGAATAATCAACCAGTGATCTGGTGAGATCCGTAAACATTCTCGAGGGATGTCGGGGAATGGCCAAGGATAACGCCTATGGGAAACCAAAAGTCCTGAAATGATGACACAATGTTAATTCAGCTGGTTTCCTCTGGTTGATCAGTTAGAAATTCTTCAATTGGGGGGGGGGGGGGGGGGACAGAGTGTCAGATTACATGCCCTCCAGGAGAATTCAGATAAGATGGCCTGCAAGGTCAAGCAAGGGAGCCAAATTCAGACAAACACACAGTTGTTTTGGGGACAGGCAGAACTTAATGACATCTACCTTGAGTCTGTGTTGGTCCACTCGGTTCCGAAATGTCCAAATTACATGGCCACACCGATGGACCATGCCTGAGAAAAATCCCAGAGATCTGATCCATTCTGCCTCAAGCATTTAAGTCTGGGCGCTCGAGGAACAAACAAATCCATCATAAAGTCAAGCAGTATGACCAGGTCCAAATTTGCTGCCAATGACTTCCTTGATGGGCAGCACGGTGGCGCAACTGGTAGAGCTGCTGCCTCTCAGCGAGCAGGTCCTTGGTTCAAACCCCGGTCCAGGGGCCTTCTGCGTGGAGTTTGCATGTTCTCTTCGTGCATGCGTGGGTTTTCTCCGGGTACTCCGGTTTCCTCCCACAGACCAAAAACATGCATGTTAGTCTGATTGGTAACTCTAAATTGCCCTAGGTGTGAGTGAGAGAGTGAATGGTTGTTTGTCTCGTTTGTCTCTATGTGTCCCTGTGATGGACTTGCGACCCATCCAGGGTGTCCCCCCGCCCCTTGCACAGTGATTGCTGGACATGGGCACTGGCGACCCCCATGACCCAAAATGGAAGAAGCGGGTAAAGATAATGAATGGATGGATGGATGGACTTCCTTGATTGTTGATAGACCAGGAACCAGCCGAATTCCAAAGAAGCAGGAACCAGTTATCATAAATCCCATTATAAATGCGAGCCAACATGGATGAGAAAATTAAGTTTGCCCCACACCAGGGTCAAACTCAAGCTCACTGGGTCTTTGTGCTTCTATCATCATTTTCATTTAACCAGACTCCATGTTTTACAGCGCTCGTATCTTACTTCCCATCTGAGTCGGGCTTGATGACAAGATGTAAGCGAGCGCTCTGATTGGCTGAAACTCTGCCGTCATTACTCATATAACTTGGGCTACAGTTGAGCCTTCCATTGAATTGTGGGTATTTAATCAAAAAACTTCAAACTCCATGGACCGAATGGATTGAGCTTGCGGTCTAGATGTGGCCCGAAGACCACCAGTTGAGGATGGCTTTGCTACGTTCTCCTTTGAACCCAAAGATGTGATGTCAGTGATTTACGTTCCTAGATTTTAAATATAATTTCATCAAAGCTCAGGGAGATTTCCACCTCTCTCCTTTAAATGGCCTGAAGGTTAAAAAGGGCAGTGACATTTTATAGATCTGGTACAAATTTCTTTTTTATTATTATTATTATTACATTTCTGGCTAAAACTAGGAGTTTCGTTCAAGGACAATAACTTTTAGACTTGCTCATGAGCCTCTACTCTTTCTGTGCAGCGTTGCCTGAAAGGACAATTCATGACCGTTAGAAATTGTTTTTCTTCCTCGTTGTTTGTGTACAAATACATTTCTACTTTCTCTGACCTATTTAACAGTATTATGCATCATAGATAATGAAATACTCACTTTAGCTTCTATTGTGAGAAATGTTTTTGAGACATCATTATGTTTATATTTAAAGATGTTTCTATATAAGGACATATAAAACTGTGAAAGTGAATTGTATTCATCTTGTTGCATCTGTATTGAGAATAATTGGGGATATGTTTGTTTTATTTGCAGGCTTTTTTTAAAGACTAAGGACTTCTGGGATGTCTTGGTTGCAGAGGATGGTTTGGAAAGTGTTTTTTATTCTAAGGACTAAGCCTGTGGCCACGGTGCACGCAGGCTCTAAACTACATCCGTGACCACATTTATCAATAAATTCTAAACGGTGGATTGCTTCTGAGAGAAAGTTGTGAAATGATTCCTGTGAGTCCTGTCATGTTACATATCTTTGCATCGTTCATTGTTTGTATCTACACACGGACCATTTCCTGTAGCTTCACAGCTAAAAATAAAATTCTGTTCACCAATCTGTTGGGCTGTCTCGTGCTAATGTCTGTAATAGTTTGCATTAAGAGGTTTTTGCATTTATGTTTAATTTGAACCCTTATAGATGCAGTTTTCTTGTATTCCCATGTCTGAGTTACATAACTTATTGTTTTGAAAAGGGTTTGGTGTGAGCTGTTTAATGTAAAGTTAATAATGTAGCAGTTTGAGTCTGGATTTAGTTAAGTAGAGTCTAACGAACTCTGTTGAACATGTTCATAATTCACAATTGTTGATTTCAACGAGGCCACGTTATACTGAACAATGTTTTTGTTCACATCATTGCAGAAATGTAATTCGTCTGTGAACGGACATTTAGACTGTGTTTGTTTATTGTTTGTTTGTTTTTTTATTGAAATATGCTAATGTTATTCCATCGGTTAGGATCAGTGTAGTGTGTGTTTGTTCGTTTTTAAGTACATAAACTGAATTTATTTTAGTGAACATCAACACCTTAAAACAAATTTACTGATTGTTTTTTTAATTTAAAGATTGCTTGGTTCTTGGCTGCACAGAGGAAGTCTGCTGCAGAAATATTCTGTGAACGTACCATGCCTGGGTTTCCCAGACATTAATAACCCAAGAGCCAGTTCAGACTGTTTTGCAGAGAGTTTATGCCGAAACATTATAACCAGTCAATGTCCTACCTGTTGTGGATAGATCATTGAATGTCCTCAATTTGGAGAAATAAGGTTTATTCCTGACTCAAATGAGGAACTAACAGTAGTTATGGGTTGTTTACAGCTGAAGCTCATATCAAAACAATGACTCAGTGGTTCAGAACTGCTGTGTCATGGCTTGATTTGTTTTGCCAGGGAGGGTCACATGATCAATGGCGTCTGAAGCTGGAAGAAGAGGGTACCTCACTGCTTTGGTACCTGATTCAGAGGTTTATAAGGAAGTGAATCACTGGTGGAATTTGTGGCATTTTTGGTGGCAAATTTACACAAAACATAACAAACCAGTTAGACATATAGCGAGACCTGGAGCCAGCCAGCCTTGTTTTGTTTTTGTTTAGTTTTTCAGTTCATAAACACTTCAAAACAAAATTCAGTTCTTCAATAAAGCTTCATTCGGCTGTCACTAGCTACCAGCTAGAGCGGTGCAACAATCACCATGGATTACTGCCAGTTTAAATCAACTCCATCCTCTAAAATATCATAGCTTCGTATGTAAATGTTTTAATAAACCTTTACACTAGTTTTGCATTTCAAGGTTTTTCTAATAGAAATAATTTGGTATTCCTGCTGAAAATGCTCTTAAGACTCCACAAGATACATGTAACTGCTGCATTTTCTGTTCACTCTTGGAGAAAAAAAACAGAATTTTGTAAACACTAACATGATGTAGAGGTTTAGGAAACATTGTGTGCGTGAACCACTATAATAGCTGTTTCAAGGTGGAAATTTTCCACTTTGGACTTAGTTGGACCTTCTGTTAGCTTGTCAGCCGGGTCATGATTAAACAACTCCAGACTGAACCCCACTTCAAAATCAATGACTGGTTGCACAAATCTGTTTATTTCCACAAACACAGGCATCATATGTCCCATATGAACAGTTAAAGCAGAGTTTCATCTAAATGTGAAAAGGACTGGGTCCATTCAGAATTGTGATGTCAGATTTCAGTGTTACATCTGTCTGAGCAGAGGACCAGTCTGTTCCAGCTGCTGCTCTTCAAACAATGCAACGTGTAAAGAGCGCATGGTAAAGTCAAGTTGTGATCAACAAAACTTGTTGACAACAAGGGACTTTTTTTAGGTCAAATCATGTTGCTGATGATTTCATGAGATCGACAGCACCCTTCCTCGATGTAATGTAACATTCTCTACCCAGCATCCAACTCAGCTCCAGTTTTTAAAAGCAAATCAAATTACCAAGAGAAAGAAGAAAAATAAATGTTTATAAGAGTGACAATGGATCTAAATCGTTGTTTTTACATTTGTTTTATATTACTGTTGTATTACCAGAAGAAATCAAGTCCAGGCCAAAGTCCAGGCCATTCACCACGTTGTTTGGTTAAAGAAAACTTTAACCAAATGTTTTTTGAAAAACATTAAACGTATCCATACCACATATGAAAGTGACCTGAGTCATAAAAAAAATTAGATATGGGTCACAATTTTTATTTATTTTTTCCTCACTCGCTCTCGTGCAAGGCGGATGCCTTTTCTTCCCTCTCCCGTCCTCCTCCTGCTTTTTTGCTCTCTGTTTTGTGTATCAAAGCTCCTATTTACACATCTTCTGAAACGAAAAACTACTGTCATGGATCTGGTCAGCTGGACTTTCAACGCAATCAATAAAATCTTTTCAACAAAGCGACAGGGTCCTGGAGAGCCCTCGTGCCCCGCTGAGACGCACGCGGCAGGATCCGTCATGGATCCGTAGGGAGTTTGGCAGCTGATGGGTCTTTCTGTATTGTCTCAGGAGGATGCCGAAGATGTTTATATAATTGGAATCATGATAGCACGGTTTCTGCTTTTTGGCACCGGTGGATTCCTACGTTATCGGCTATGGAAGAAGATGGCAGCAGCAGCTTCGGCCATGGCAAAACTGCCAAGTCTGTGTGAAGGTTTGGTTCGTGCTTTGAGTACTCAAAATCAGCTGATTTACAAGCTAAACCCTAAGATGGAAGTGATTTGTGAGAATCGCAGGCCACCTGCGGCTTCTGGGACTCGCCAGCATGTTGGAAACGACCTTGGAGAGAGCTCATAAGCACAGACCAGTGGAATGCCCACAAATCTAGCCATTTTGGATTGAAAGTACCAGCAAGACTCAAGGCTGACGAGAAAAAATAGTTTGTCTGAAAAAAAAAAATCAGCAAGGCTTATCTGAATCTGATTCCCCCGTTTGGCCTCGAAGCAGGCCGACATCAAATTTCTTCTGGGATATGTGTGCGTAAACTAAGGAAAAGCTCTGTGTATCGCAACACCCCCCAACCGAGAACTTCTGTGAATGCTTATGAGAGCTGTACCGGCTGACACCAACGTCTTATCAGGATTTTTTTTTGTTTTGTTTGTTTTTGTTGTTTTGCTTTGTTTTGTTTTTTTGAATGTCCAGAGGACCAGATTTAACTTTTTTAGATTTTTCTACATGGATTATTGAGCATGCTTCAGGATATCAGGACTATAGTATATCTGGAAGTGCTTCATGGACAAATCTCACCATCTTGTCGCCAGATGCATATGTAATGTGTTTATAAATGTGCTTGCTGGTAAAGTATTTTTGATGTTTTAAATTGTGTCCTGATAAGGACAAAGTGTGAAGAGATCTTTTTTGTAATACCACTATTCTATCCTCATGGCTTTTTCCACTTTTCTATCTAAAAAATATTCTGAAAAAGAATAAGGGGCCACGCTCTGCAGGAGCAGCAGCAACGTGCACTCCGTCCATCTTTCGGACGACTGTACAAACATAATCTCACTGTATCCCGGTACAATGATCAAAAAGCCTTTTCTGATTCTGATTCAAATGAATTTGCCTGAACATAGCCTGTTTGACAGAACATCACTCAAAGAATAACTGAACTGTCTCTTTAAACAGAATCTGCGTTTTTGTTTCAAAGGATTAATTCAGATATTTTCAAATGGGTTTTGTGTAAAAGTTATAAATGATTGCAATTTACCTGGTACAGATTTTTATTGTTCATAACAATATCACGGATCCCACTGGAAAGGTAACGTTTCAATGTTGCACAGGTTAATGTGCTGTACTGTGTATGAAATTAGTTTAACACGTATTTATTTATTCGGAGCTTTAATGAATCTTCCTTTGTTTTGCCCCCAAGATTAAAACCTAGAAATTAGAGCAGATTAAACCTTTCTGCTGCATGTTTAAATCAAGTCTTCCCAGCTGTAGAAACGTTACTCTGCACAGTTTAGTCCCTCGTTAGCATCAGTTTCTACAAATATCTCCCTGCACTGTCTTAACTAGCTGGTTAATTTTGTTTTAATTTGTTTTTGTCCCTAAGTGGTGAAGCGCCACTGCCGCCATTTCCTCTAGAGCAGAAGACTTGTTTAGGATATTGTTCCCAACTCGTTGACTAATGGTGAAACTACAGCCAAGACACGGACACACGTGAAGTTAATGCATTTTTATTTCATGCCGCTACAATTCATAAGAAAGAACACAGTAAATTGTCTCTCCTTTTTCATAATAAAGCATCAACCCTCTAGTTTCCCTCTCTCATACATTTCCATATAATTGTATTTTTTTCAAATATAATTTATCTACTCTTATTTACAAAGCTGCTCTACCATGCTCAGTGAGGTGACAGTTATTTATCACATTGAAATGTTAAGGGAATTCAATACGTTTACGCTAATTAGATTAGATACAAGCACATTTGGGTTTGTAATTTGGATTATGCTGCAAGCTTTGGGAATATCGGAGGTATTTGCTCAGCAACCTTTTCAGTTTAAACACCAGAATCACAGAAACTACAACACTCGAAAAACAAACAAAAGATTGCAATGTAACTATTCAAATTAATTTATTTGTTCCTGATGGATTTAATGGTAAAGTTAATTTACAAATAAGTACTTAAAAGGACACACGGAGTGTCGAAGAAGCAGCTATTTCATCTTTGTGTCTTCAAACCTTAAGGTGTGGGAACAAACGGTTTATCTGGTAGAAAACTGTAAATTCACAGTGCTGCTGGGGTGGATATAGTTTGTTTCAAACCAGCCGGACATGCAGCGCGTTGCAGGGATCAACCGTGGGAGGGGAGCGGGGTGGGATGCTGTTGGAGCTTTCGAGGACCACAACTTGGCATGGAGACGATGGCAAAAGCACAACAGTCTGAGGATCTCCTGCGCTCCATCACTTGTTTTTTCAATGTTGATGTGTAAGGGGTTGAGGTCAAAAAGGGAAGTTCTGCAAAGTGAAGAAGGTGAAACAGGTGAGACATGCTGAAAATCAGATCTCTTGTGAAACCTTTTACTGTGAAGATAAATGGCTTGTTACATGTATGGCTGCTCAACTCCAAACAGGAAGTGACCTAAATATGGGAGTAATTGGTCTTTATCACAAGCCACTACAGAGATTGTTTCATTGGGGACTGCTGAGTAAGGCAGCCACCTATTATTATCCACCTGACAAGGGTTTCTTAACTTTACATTTTACTCTTCCGTCAACTTTAATGCAGCCCGAACCGCAACGTGTACCCCAACAAATGTTATATCAAAACGACTGGCTCAGCACTGTGATGTGTGCTATTACTTTTATTGGCATTTCATGTAACCATGGTGACATAATTTGCAAACAAAGACGCCATTTTTATTAGTCATTTTTCATAGACTTTGGTTGCAAATCAGATATCCAAAATGGCCACCTGAGCTAAAAAGGAAAAATACTGTAAATCTGTTTTTAGAGATATTAAGCTGAAATTTGGTGTCATAGCTGAGAGCAATACTCAATACAAAGTTAATTAAAAAATTCAAGATGGCCACCAAAGCTCAATTTAAATAGCTTTAGCTCAGCTATTTTTACACATAGAGCTAAACTTCGGTGTGGTTATAGGTGAGAACCTTCACCAATCCCATACTGAATCCACACCAAAAATCCAAGATGGCCACCATAGCTTAACAGATAATATTACTAACTCACTGATATTTTGCCATTTTGAGCTGAAATTTGGTATAATGGTAGCTGAGAGCAAACTCAAACACATATTCCTGTCAAATCAACATTTTAAAATAGTCACCACGTGGCAGGCCTCGTTTTTCCAGGAACCTTCTATTTTTTATCATCATTGTCATCCTGAGCAGTCCCACAGGGTCTAAACTGTGCTGCTTGACTTTATATCTGCTCATGTCATGGCCAGATGTTGTTGCTTGGCAACACAGGATGACCAGAAATGAGTTGCTGTAGGAGACTTAATCTAAATTTGCAGGGGTCTGCCTCATGCGGGTCCAACTTCTCGGCACGACACAGTTTCTAGAAGAGATGGGATGTGGTGGACCCTGCACCTTTCTTACCTCGGGAGCTGCTTAGAAAAGACCACAGTCTTTAAGGTTTTCTTTGATGATGATGTCTGTCACGGCGTTGAACACGATCTCGACGTTCTTTGTGTCTGTGGCACAGGTCAAGTGAGAGTAGATTTCTTTTTGACCTTTCTTCATGTTCAGATCCAAGAATTGTGTCTTGATGTAGTTGCTGGCATCGTCGTACGTGTTGGGGCCTAAAACGATGTCAGTGGGCCAAAGTTTAGTTAGAGACGTAATTAATTTTACAGACTCGTGTTACATTATTTCAAGCACTCCTTGTTTTCAAATGTGCTCCTATTGAACTTTCAAGAAAACGTTTGCACTTTACTTCATACTTTTATGGCATTTTTCAGTTAATCTGGTTCATTTTTATTTCTAATTTGCCATTCACGTTTATTAGATGTCAGACTGGATCCACTGTCCTACTTCAGCTAACTTTGCTCAGAGTAGCTCAGGGTGCAACAGATACCGCCCTGAAATCTTAAAGCAAGGCTTTGATTTGGGGTTCTGTGGAAAGGTAATGATCAATAGATATCTTACCTGTTGCAGATAACACTTTAAACAACCACTTTTTGTAGAAATGTTGTTTAGTTCTGGTCAAGCTGAGGAGCTAACAGCTTGTCCAAGCAAAGTCAAGGCTTAAATAAATTACTGCCATCCTAAAGCAATCTGTTGCCAAAGTTTTTTAGCGGTGCATGCAAATGCTATTTTATAAACTTTTACATCACCGTCAGTTTAGTGTTGCCTGTAGTTTTATGCAATTTTACAAACAGCAGCTAGCTGAAGTTCTTCCTGTGCAGCTTGGGGCACTTCAGGTGAGATCACTGTAATATTCATGTGAAATTAAGAGTTATGTAAAGGTTTAAAAAATGCATTCACATGACAGTTTTGAGATTGAAGTTGTTTGAAGTAACTTTTAAAATTTCCTGCTACAACACATATTTTGAATTTGGCTTTTGATTTAAGGAGAACAGAAGATTTTAAAAGGCCGATTGTCCTCATTTGTTTGATTTCTTTAATATATTTTGTTATATTGATGTCTGGTTTGACTGTAAAGCATGTTTATCAACTCACTTGTTTTAAATGTTCATATAAATAAAACGGACGTTAGGATTTGGCCCAACTCGCTGTTAGCTCATCAATTTGGTCAGATTTAAACCTTATCTCTTCAACAGGTAAGATACTTATCATTCATTTTAAAAGAGCTTAATGATTTCTTTAAAGTAGCTGAGCAGGTCTTACCATCATAGTCTGGGAAGCAGATGCTCAGATGAACTTTCTTGATCTTCTCTTCAAAAAGATCCTTCTTGTTGAGGAAAAGCACGATGGAGGTCAAAGCAAAGAACCTGTGGTTGCAGATGCTGTTGAATAGATGGAGGGACTCGTGCATACGATTCTGAAACAGTCATAGGTAAAACATTGAGTCGGTAACTGCCCCGATGCGTTTTCGATGCTTCGTAATCGCACAGTGTCTGCTCCGACTCACCACTTCGTCGTCCTCTACGAGCACCATGTCATACGCACTGAGAGCTCCACAGAAGATAATGCAAGTCACACCCTCGAAACAGTGGATCCACTTCTTCCTCTCTGACCTCTGACCTCCCACATCAAACATCCTGTTCACGACAGAGAGTCAGAATGAACTGGGGAAGCGTCCGGACAGCACAGCTCGGGGTTTCTCCAGGTGGTTTACCTGAAATGCAGCTCTTTGCAGGAGAACTGTTCTTCGATGATACCGGTTGTTTTGACTCGAGACCGCAGCACATCCTGCTCAGTGGGCATGTAGTCTGGCTGGCAGATTCTGTCCATTTCACTGAGGTAGCTGACGGGGCAAACAGAGCATCAGTCAAGCTTCACGTATACATCATTTCCCCCTACAGACACTGATGGATCTGTGTTTGTGTGTAGACCAGGTCAGTTCCAGAAGAGGAGACAGAGACTCACTAGCCAGCAGAGTCGTTCAGTTGGTACTCAGCAGCTCTCTCGAAGGCGGCCTGCACGCCGCCGTCCTTCCACAGCTTCTTGATGACATCAGCCAGCTCTGGAGGCATCGTGCCTTCTTCAATGGAGTCTGACAAGTTCTGCAGCTTCTGTCCATCCTCCTGCGGCATCAAGCACAAACAACAAAGACCCGTCAGCACATTTCACACCATCAGCTGGAAGCGTGAACTTGACACGTCTGCAGAAGATGAGACCTGTGCTGAGGGCGAGCCGAAGTCAATACCGAGCATCTCCATGCCTCTGATGATGGCCAGAGCAGACTGCAGGATGTTGCCGTAGATGATTGTTCTAAACTCCATTTGTTCCTCTTTTGTGTAACCGCCTTGATGAAGAATTCTGGGGGTAAATGGAGAGAGAAGGGGGTTAATTAATTTAAGATGATAATGTAAAAATTTGCAACAATAATCGAAAAAATATATATATTGCACAATTGTAGTTTTTTTTGTTTCTTTGTTTCTTTGGGGGGGTTTTTAGCATTAAGTACAGGAATGCTCATTTTGTCTGATACTTCAGGTTTGATTTGGTTCAGAGCTCACAGTGCCACCATGTGGCTTGTTTCTGTTGCCTTTTTATTTTTTTTATTGCCATCAACCTAAAGCAAGTGCTGATAAATCAGTCAGAGGATGTACATCTGAGCAGTAAGACCATAAAAATAATACTCACTTCATTTGCTTTACAATGGTGCTTTTTCCTGACTCACCAGCACCTGAAGAAAACAACATTGTGTTAGTAATGACGTGTCTGTTGCTCCTCGCTCCAACTTGTGAAGAAGCAGCTTCAAAGAGTCAAAGAATGTGGCATAATTTCTATTTATCAGTTCAGAACTCTGTTGTGATGTCCAATTTTATAACATGGGCACAAAACTATTATGCCGTTTAATTCACTTCACATTAGAGCAAACAAACGGACTTTTTATGACTCGTGTTTAAAAATATCATTATTGCTCATCCTTTTTTATTTTCCTTTGGTTGATTTATTTACTTTTTGACAAATTGTCCATGTCTTTGCGAACATTTGAACTGCCTGTGACACATGCATAAAATGATTAATAAAACTAGCATGCACTAAGCAAAGCTCACATTCTGATTCAAAGCATAAAACACACTGTCAGAAGAAATACTGAGACCAACAGAATTCATGCAGAAATTTTAATTTTGGTGAATTTGTTCAGTGCATAAACCATAAAACGTGCTGTTCTCAGTTTCATGTGAAACACAACTAAATATACGCTCAGCTGTTTATCATTTTTATTGCTGAGTTGTTTTTTTTATTGGTTTTCTATAATTCTATTAATCTGACATAATTTGTTGATCATTATGCATCTCATGACATAAAAACAACAGGATCCTTGTTAGCAGACACATCTGTATTTTGTCAAATTCCACTGAAACATCTGCAGGGACTGCATCCTCGAACATGCATTTTGAGCGATGTGCGAGCGTGAACGCGGCTGCAGTGACAGAATTAGGTGCACAGCAGTGCTGGAGAAAAGCCTCGGGGCAGATCCCTGAAGCTCCCTGCTCCACCGACAGCTGCAGGAGTTTATCAACGCTGAGCCTCCTGCTCTTTACTGAAACCATTTAAAGCTTCAGCCAGTATTTAAAGACTTCATCCAACCCTTTCAGGCAACTCCTGCAGGTCTTCCCCTGCTTGTCGTCATCAGTGGGTCAACGTTGGGATAACTTGGCTCGTGGCAATAAAGGAAGCAGCAATAAGAAGCTGCATTCGTTCACGCCGAGTCATTTTGCAGACACTCTTTAGGCCTTTCACATGAAGTTTGAGGGTTTTTTAGTTAATGCTGCAACGCGAGCTGCAATGTTTTATTTTTAAAAAACTGCAAAAACCTTCTTATCAGAATTTTTTTTAAATGTTCAAAACAGCCCTTGATTGTAAAAATGTTCTGCGCAGAAGAGTTCTTCATGAACAAAATGTCAAAAAATGTGATATTTATTTTTGCTTTTAATTGATTCATTTAAACTTCTACAGCAAATTAAAATATTTGAAACAGTCACAATTCTTTTATGTGCTTTTTCTTTATTGGGGGAAATCTTTTCACTTGACAAATTTCCATGTAATTTAATTGAATCATGTGATTTTCTTTCTTTCTGTGTGTGAACACAACTGTTGCATGTACAGATTAAATAAACTGCTAAACAGACCCTTCCATGTAATTATTGTATAAAAACGGTGCCTCTTTACATCTTTTCCTGTTGGTGTGTGAGTGGTGGAAAAGGTGCAGGAGAAGCAGCTTCTCTTTAAATGTTGCTGAGGAGTCTTCAGCCACCGAGTGAATAAAACAGTTCTGACAACATTTAAAGTCTCTTCTAATGGAGTCTGGATTTTGATATCCTTCAGTGCAGCAGCAGCTTTCCTACACTAACTCTACAGAAACATTTTGTACGCAGTAAGGGTCAACAAAAACCTCAGCAAGTGGATCTGCAGTAAACCTGTTAGCTAATCGGATTGACATATCTCTGCCGGCCTGAGATTCATTTAGACTATGATCTTTTAAGAACCTGCGTCCTTCCGTTAGATTCAAAAAGTCAGAACACTGTGACTTTTCTTTAAGTAATTTCTTCAAAACTATAAAAATATATATCACTGTGAGCAAATATAGTGGTTTACACTGCACAAAAGTATTTAAATACCAAAGTTTAGTTCTAGAAATTGTTCCATAATGTAAATCTGCTCTGTTTATCTTTCGGGGTTTTTTTTGTTTTTTTTAAATCATCACTGAGCTTCAGATTAAATTCTCCACATCCAAACTGATCTAAATCCTGCTGGTGTGCTTCTAATAAATTAATAGAAGGTTATCCAGTTAAAAAAAAAAAAAAAGGAATCCATTGAGAAAATGTATAATTTTCCATCTTGGTTGGTTGTCAGCAGGCCTGCATGGAGCTTTGCTATCAGATTATTTAAATCTGAGAAGATTAATGACTAAAGAGAAAACAAGTCAATAAACCCTCACTGAGATGTTTAAATAGTGATATTCATGTGTTCAATGTTCTTTGTTTAAGTGACTAAATGTTACATATGGCACGTTTTGTCTTTAAATTGTGAAGTCACATTTGATGATTTGATTCTGTGCAGAAGATTCAAGTCAGAATATCAGGAATGTAAAAAAAAAAATGAGTTTGGTTTGATGAAAGAAAAACATCTCAGTCTGAGCCTTTTCCCTGACCTGCAGCCTGGGACAAAGACAAAAGAAAGTATGACTTGATCCAATAACACCAATCATTAGATCACTTACCGAGCAGCAGCAGTTTGACTGTTTTAGCCTCCTTATCAGCGTCTTCCTGGAGCTGCTTCTCCAGCTCCTTGGACTTTTTGTCCTCAGCACTGGCTCCTGCACCCATGATTTCTTCCTCCGCAGATTCAAGGTCCTCGATGAAAGAAATTTTGACGGGTCTCTGTGTGCACCTTCAGAGAAACTGGGCCCAGCACTAATTGTGCTGAAAGGAGATTTTTGAGTGGAAGGGGATTGGAAAGGAAGGACCTGAGCCTTTCTGGCCTGTCTTGATTAGATGGAACGTCTCAGAGGCGCAAATGAATTCACAAGCGTTCACCGGCACAGATTCACTTCTTAATTCCTTGTCCTTAAAACCCGACTTAGGAGGTGTCCTTTCCTGATTGGCTGTTTAATCCATTTAGTTTATCGAGGGCAGTAGTTAATGGTTGGAAGGAGGGAGAAAATGAACTCTTGTGTTGGTGAAAGTCACTGATATCAGTAGCTGTTTGTTGCTGAACAAATCGATCTGACTGGGTGTGGATGTACATCTACACACGGCACGAAGTATACAAGGAAAATACACTAATTACTCATTTTTATTCATAAACTGGAAAGGAAAGTGCATGTTTCAGTGTAGCTGACAATTTGGAAACAAGAAGCAACTCTGCAGATTTGTACAGATCAGAAGTGAGACCAGTTTGTGTCCTGTGAGTCTTATGATCCAAGATGGGTTTCCTGCTTATTATTTTCATTTCAGCGTTCGTCACATGGATGCAGCAGGAGTGAAGCATTAAGGTCTTCTAAACTCCTTACGGTTAAGAGGTTTAAATCCCAGGTGGTGTGGTTACCTGCTAAATACAGCAAATGTGGCTGCACTCTGCTGTTTAGTTATCTGTCTCACAGATAACACCACCTCAGTGCATGTTGCACATTGTCTGCAGCAGGGGCTCTGGCACACATTCACACCACCTAAAAAGAACTAAAATAAGAGTAAAGGCTCAGAGGAGGAGATGTGGGGCTGATAGCAGGTAAATACATTTACAGGATTGGAGATGAGGATCTATTAACATCTTGTTAAAGTCGAAGGGTAGAGATCAGTTTGTCTTCAGAACTGTTTCATATCAAATCAATCTCCAAAACAGCCTTTTGCCAGCTAACATATCTAGAGTAATATTTAAATATATATCCCTAACAGACCAGGAGAAGCTCATTCATGCTTTTCTATCCTGGACTGGATTATCATAATGGTTTTCTAACAGTTCCAGCTCATTCAACATGCTGTAGCTCGGGGTTTTGACTACTTTTAAGCGAGCTGAGCATATTATTCCAGTTTTATTTTAAAGTGCTTACACTGGATCCCAGTCAACCATAAAATGGACTTTAATGTTTCACTGCTGGTTGACAAATCTCTCAATGGTTTGGAACCAGACTACAGGTATATGAGTGAAATGTAAAATGCTAATAAAATATGGACCTAGGTATTAACAGGTGTCATGGAGTCCAGATATCCTGATGTATGCTCAATAATCCATGTAGGAAAATCTAAAAAAAGTAAAGTCAGGTCCTCTGGATGGATTCTTCTTGTTGAAATGTTTCGGCTTTTATCCAAAAGACTTTGTCAGTTTGAGGAGCTGCAACAAACTCAGTCTTATAAATAGTACCTTCTCATATGGAGCAACTTTTTCTTTTGTGCTAGGCTAATGAGTGATATTTTTCTTGAAATTGGGCTGTTTTATTAATTTTTAATGTGTAATTTAATTTCTGGTCTTTTTTCTAGTTGTTATGTCATGTTTGTTTTGTTCTCATATGCAGGTTAACACAAGGTCAACAATGCAACGAAATGTTCAGGATGAGAAGAATTGATTTGACTTGCTAAGAAAAAAGAAAACAAACAAACAACAAGAAATAGTAAATAAAGTACCAAAAAGTGAAAAAAAAATACAAAGTATAATATTGACAAGATCCAAAAGAAATATAGTAAACAACAACATGGTAGAATATAATGGTGCAAGTAGAATGAATTACAGTAGTATAAGTATTTCACAGGTAGTAATATTAGCTTGAATGCACAATGATATATATATATACATACATATATATACTGTATATGGTGGCGCAACTGGTAGAGCTGCTGCCTCTCAACAAGCAGGTTCCCGGTTCAAACCCCGGTCTGGGGGGCCTTTCTGGGTGGAGTTTGCATTTTCTCTCCATGAATGTGTGGGTTTTCTCCGGGTACTCCAGTTTCCTCCCACAGACCAAAAACAGACCAAAAACATGCATGTTAGGCTGATTGGTAACTCTAAATTGTCCCTGAGTGAATGGTTGTTTGTCTTGTTTGTCTCTATGTGTCCCTGTGATGGACTTGTGACTTGTCCAGGGTGTACCCCGCCCTCGCACAGTGATAGCTGGACATGGGCACCAGCGACCCCCGTGACCCAAAATGGAAAAATCGGGTAAAAGATAATGGATGGATATATATATA